GACTGTTGTGAGGAACGACTGGGACGGTGCATTTAAGTCATTGGTACACGCTGACTACTTGGTAAGCATAGGTATTATTAATGGACTCAGGAACAACCAGTTTTTACAGTGGGATGGGCAAATGAAACCGTTTGAGACTGTTTCGAAATCCAGTGTTAGGCCCTGCCCTGTACCTACTGAATCGGAATGTCTTTGTCTTGGGAAAGGGAGCAGGAGGCGACGCGTTCGTGTTTATTCTGATGCCCTCCTTTGATGAGAGTCATTGCTCTAGAACTCTTTGTTCTAGTACTCACTGCTCAGTATTCCAGAGTCTTGCTACTCAAAGTGTGCTCTTGGACCAGCTGTCAGCACCTCAGGTACCTCTCCTTCTGCATCAGAATCTGCCTTTTAAAAAGATCCTCAGAAAATTCAAATGCTCATTAAAATTTTAAGAAACACTGTTAAGGTTAAAAAACATAAAAAAACAAATACACACACCACCCACACTCATTTAGGAAAGAGTTGTTCTCTGGTTGTTTTGCAACCACAGAGTAAGCAACCATGTTGTAATACCCAATATCTTGGATTTGTTTATAGGAGTGCTGGGAACATAAGTAACAGATAAGGGAGGCCAGCCTGAGAACTGGGGACCCACAACAGGATTGGTCGGTGAAGACTGTGGCAAACCTGAGTCAGAACAGGATTAAACAGAAGGCCAGGAGTCACTTCAGGCCAGGTGGCCATCTGTCACAGCTGCCTGCAGTCTTCTGGGGTGGGGGCAGGAGTGCTGGTCCTTGGGGCTCCCCCACCTGCCCATGCCAGCACTCTGGGGGCCTTAGCTCTTCCCTTTGTACCAGGCACGTCCGGAGCGCTGGCTACCAGGGTCCCATCAGCAGCTCTGAAGCGCAGCCTGCCAGCTGGCGGCTCCTCCTTCTCCAGGCTGTTCTCTGAGCTTCAGATTTCTCGCTGCCCCTCTCCCGCACTGACCTTGCAGCTTCTCCTTCCCTCCAGACAGGGGCGAGATTGCCGGTTGAGGAAAAAACGCTTGAAGGGCCAAAGACAGGGACTGGAAAGCAGCAGGAAAGAGCAGAATGGTCCTGTGGTCCGTGTGTGTTTTTAGGGGTGAGTGCAGATACAGGGAGCGTGGGAGAGGAAGGCTGGGGAGCCACTCGTGGCCCCGATCCTCTAGTTAAAGCTCCGGTAATGGACACACCATGTGTCCTGTAGGCACTGGCTCAGACGCTGTTGTTGGGGCCTCATCTTGGGTTGGTCACTCACTAGGACCCTCTCGGAGATGGATCTTGAGAGAGACGAGGACAAGGCAAAGGGGTGGTGGGAGGAGGGGGTCTGATGTCAGGGTCAAGAGGCAGATTTGTCTCCTCTGTATACAGATGGTGGAGAGGTCATTGGGCCGGTTCTGTGGGGCCTTTGTAAGTTATCTCTTTAAACCTCAGTTTCTCCATTTGTATTACCAGATTACAGCTTCCTAAAGTTGCCAAAGATTTTGTGAATCCTTTACCTGATAAAATGCCTGACATATAGCAGGTGCTAATCAGCCATCTCAGTTCCTTCTTCACTGCTCCCACCTGCAGGCTGGGCCCCATTTCCACCATGGATTTCCCACTAGTTCCAATGGGCATGCCGGCCATGCTTACTTTCCCCCTCACTTCCTTCTTTCCTTCCCTCCAACACTGGCCTTGGTTGGAAACTAGAGAGCTGGAGAGCTGAGGAGTAAGCATTCAGCACATGAAGCCCTACAACCTTTGTTAGAACAGAAGGCCAGAAAAAACAAATGCTTGGTGCGTTTGTGACCCACCCTAGGCCTCTACCTCTCATGCACATCAGCTCCTTCAGTTTAGGCTGAACACTAGCTCAGGTGGTTTGCTTCCCTGGGGGAGGCTGTAGCCTGCAGTGGCTGTACAGTGTCAGTCCCAGCTCCCCTGCTTTCTTACCCTGGGACCCTCATTGACCCAAGCCTCAGCTTTTCCATTTGCAGAATGAGAAAACTGTAACAGAACCCACCCCATGTGGTTCTTTCCAGGATTGTTGTCTGGATTCAGTGAGCTCTAATGCACATAAGTACTTAGTGCCAGCACTAAGTGTTAGCTATTATCACTCTTCCAGGATGACACCTACCACTTTGTGCTTAATAGGCAGCAGGCATAGGCCTAAGCGCATTATAAGCATGAACTTCTTTTATCCTTATAACAACTCTGTGGTGTAAGTACCACTGTTACCCCCATTTCAGATGAGAAAACCGAGGTACAGCCAGGTTAAATAATTGTGTAGTTACTAAGGGGTTGTACTGGGATTCAGACTCAGGCAGTCTGTCTGGAGTCTATGTTTTCTGTCACTATGCAGCTGAAGTTATTAGTCAGCATTTTGTAGTCGGAGCCCAGTAGACGTGGAGAAGAGGAACGTGAGAGGTGAGAGGAGGTGGTTCTACCCTCTCACTGTTGCAGCTGTCGCCTGAGGACCTGCAGCTATTCCTAGGCTGGGGCTGCCCTGCTTGTCCAGGTGACCTGTGCTCCTGAAGGAGACCAGCCGTGGTCATCAAACGGACAGCTCCACTCCCAGGCCCATGGCCCTCCCTGGTGGCCTTTGCCACTTTCCCATGCTCCTGGTAGCAAAGTGACTCACCTCTAGCATGTGGCCTCTAACTTTCCCAGGCAGAGTCCCCATCTACAGGGCAGGCTCCCTACCCACTGACTTCCTGGTATAGAAGCCCAGCTGCCAGGAGGGAGGGATGAGCTGTGGGCCTCTAACCTATTCTTAAGGAACACGTGGTGGTGGTTTCTTGCCAGGCAAGAAGTGTTTGCTTCACATCACGGCCACCTGAACCATGTCTGATCCTTCCTTGTTCCTCGTCTGTTTCTCTGTGCTTTGCAGGCCCCCCGGCATGTGGAAGATGCTCACAGTGGCGATGTGTGTGGCCCTTCTGGGCTGTCTGCAGGCCCAGGAGCTCCAGGGACACGTCTCCATCATCCTGCTGGGAGCAACTGGGGACCTGGCCAAGAAGTACTTGTGGCAGGGACTGTTCCAGCTGTACCTGGATGAAGCAGGGAGGGGCCACAGTTTTAGCTTCCATGGAGCTGCTTTGACAGCCCCCAAGCGGGGCCAAGAGCTCATGGCCAAGGCTCTGGAATCCCTCTCCTGCCCCAAGGACATGGAACCCAGTCACTGTGCAGAGCACAAGGATCAGTTCCTGCAGCTGAGCCGGTACCACCAGCTGAAGACGGCCGAGGACTATCAGGCCCTGAACAAGGACATTGAGGCACAGTTCCAGCCCGCGGGCCTCCAGGAGGCTGGCAGGATCTTCTACTTCTCAGTGCCGCCCTTCGCCTATGCAGACATCGCCCGCAACATCAACAGCAGCTGCCGGCCAGGCCCAGGCGCCTGGCTGCGGGTTGTTCTTGAGAAACCCTTTGGCCATGACCACCTCTCAGCCCAGCAGTTGGCCACAGAACTCGGGAGCTTTTTCCAGGAGGAGGAGATGTACCGGGTGGACCATTACCTGGGCAAGCAGGTGAGCATCAGCGCGGAGCCTGCCAGGGTTAGAGTAGGAGCTGGGTGGTGGCAGACCCCAGCAACAAGGCCACCCACTCATTGTGGAGCTGGGCCCCAGGGCACTGTGAACTCAGAGCTCCCATGGTCTCCTGAAAGTGGGCAGGAGGTGAGGGGTCAAAGGAAAGACAGCAGCAGGCAGGACTGTTGGGTCCTTGTCCGTGTATCTGGCCTCTTTTGTCCTTTGGACTCTGGCTTCTCACGCCTGCCCTGCATCCCCTGTAGAGGTGGCCCAGGGACTCCAGTGTCTGGATCTGGCTTCCTGTTGGGTGTGCTGTGGGAATTAGAATGAGCTTTCTTCTCATTTACATTTTTTTGTTTTTTTTGAGACAGAGTCGTTCTCTGTCACCCAGGTTGGAGTGCAGTGGCATGATCTCGGCTCATTGCAACCTCCACCTCCTGGGTCCAGTGATTCTCCCACCCTAGCCTCCCTAGTAGCCTCCCAAGTAACAGGCACACACCACCACGCCTGGCTAATATTTTGCATTTTTAGTAGAGACGGGGTTTCACCATGTTGGTCAGGCTGGCCTCGAATTCCCGACCTCAAGTGATCTGCCCGCTTTGGCTTCCTAAAGTGCTAGGATTACAGGTGTGAGCCACCGCACCTGGCCTCATCTACTTTTTTTCAAAATCTTTTTCTTCCTGAGTTCTGTGTTGAGCCAGAAGGTTGGCAACAAGAACTTAAACCAGGGAGCAGTGGGACGCTAAGCCCAGGCCCTGGGGAGGAACATGAGGTAACCTCCTGGGTGACACATGTCAGTCACTCAAAATGCCTTGGAGGCCCTTGGGGACATCCTGTCCCAGGAACCCCAGCAGAGAGCACAGCAGCCCTGTGTTCTGGTACTGAGCCCAGGTGGTGCGGGTGGGCACAGGCAGCTGTTGAGAACAGAGACATGATTTCCATCACACCCTGTCTGGAGTTGCCCATAGCTGGATTCCTAAATAGTGGTCCTTAGACCTGGACCATTCCTGGGGAGGTTTTCACTTGTTAATGGCAAGATGAGAAGAAATACTGAATGTGCTCAATTTGAAGCTTTTCTTGCTACATTTTTGGTGTTAAACCTATCTTTATTAAAAAATAGTTATACTAGAAGATATGTAATTTTGAATATTCTTTTTCTTGGCAAAATACAAATCTGATAACCCTTTGGAGGTCACTTGCAAATTTTTGGAGGCTTTACTGGCCCATGAGACCCTGAAGTCCAGAACTATTGCTCAGAGGGCATCTTCTGGTCTAAGAAGGGAAGGGAGCGGGCAGAGACCTTCCTGGAGGCCAGGGTTCCTCCTTCATCGTGAGAGGACCCTGCAGCACACCATCTTCCTCCCGACAGGCTGTGGCGCAGATCCTGCCTTTCCGAGACCAGAACCGCAAGGCTTTGGACGGCCTCTGGAACCGGCATCACGTGGAGCGGGTGGAGATCATCATGAAGGAGACCGTGGATGCCGAAGGTGTGTGAGTGGCCCTGTGTGCTGGGTCCCTCAGCCTCTGCCTGCCCGCTGTCTGCGGTGAGGCCTTGGGCACTTCTTAGAGGGAGGTTTTCTGTGGGCGTATGGTCTCCCTTCGAGCCTGCCGTGTGCCCAGCTCTGAACTGGACTAAACCCCAGGGTGCTGGTTGGCAAAGCCCAAGTAGCCATTGCTGCCCGTGGGGAGCATATAGTCCAGAGAAGCAGGCCTGGCACAGACTCCGGAAACCACTGGCACGCAGCGGAGGCTGGAGTTCCCCCGGGTTCCCAAGTGCGTAGAGACTGTGGGAGCTGTGTGAGGGCTTCTCTGACTGCGGTGCTTGCAGCTGTGGCGCCCCTGCCTGGGCACTGCCCCTTGGGTCCCCCTCACCTCCTGACCCCTCTCTCATGTTAGTTCTCAGCTGCATGGCCCTCTAGGAAGGCTTTCTGAGCCCTGCAGGCCCACTCCCCTCACCCTCATGGTGCCGCACGCCTCCTCTCCCTGCCCTGCACGGTGTTGCCCTTGCCTTGTCCTTGTCCACCCTGTCTCTCCTGCCAGCCTGTAGGCTGCAGGAGGGCACCTCCTCTCCGGCACCTGCCACACACCTCAGATGTGCTGAGTAAGCACCTGGAAGGTGGGGGGCCTGCATCAGGCCCACCTCTGCCTTCAGCTGGGTGGCCTCAGCATGTCACTCTTTGCAGCTGTGAGATGAGTACGTCCTGTCAACAAGGACAGCTAATGTCCCTTTGGGACCTGGCATTCGTGATGGTAGCAAAGTTTTGGAGCATTGACCGTGAATATGTAAAGCCCTGGCTCTTGCCCAGTAATGATAACAGCTAATGTTTACTGTGTTCCCATTCCCCCAGCTGCCGGGTGAGGTGGGCGCTGTTATTAGCCTCCTTCCAGATGAGGATGGTGGCGAGTCCACAGCCCATGGTGGAAGGTGGTGGAGCCTGATTCTGGGGGCAACAGTCTGGCCCCAGCACCCGGACCTGGCGCTGCCGCCTGGTGCTGCCAGCGCTGTGTCAGTGGCCAGCTCATCCCCGCGGCCACTTTCCACAGCTGCAGCGGGAGCACCCGAGGCCACCGCGCCACCCCCCCTCCAGCCCCCGCAGTGCATGCTGCCACAGGACAGGGCCCAGAGCCCTGAAACTGGGGTGGGCCAGGAGGTTTGTCCTCTTTTTCTCTCTTCCTTGCTCTTTCTCTGGGCCATTTTCTCTCGTTCTTTTTTTCCCCTTGGTTTCTCTCTTCAGCTGTTTCTCTATTCCTCTCTGAATGTGTATTTAGTGCCAGAAGCTCTCTGCGGGGCTGAGATGCCAGTGAGCTACGAGACTCAGCCGCTCAGATATGGCTTCCTAATACTGCGCAGATTCTTGGGTGCTGTGGGGGGTGATGATCTCATCACACGGGCTGGTAGGACAGATGCCAAGATGGAGCCAGGCGCAGTGGTGTGCCTGTAGTCCCAGCTACTGGGGGCAGAGGTAAGAGGATCATTTGAGCTCAGGAATTGGACACCAGCCTGGGCAGCATAGTGAGACCCCATCTCTGAAAAAGAAAACAATATGGGTGACAGGTGTTGCAGGCAGGCAGAGCGGTCGGGGGACGACATGAGGGATGGGTGTGAGGCCAAGCAGGACTTCCACAGCCAGGCCTTGAAGGACATTGCTGGGCTCTAGAAGGCACTGGGTTTCTCTACTCCAGAATCCACAGCAGAAAAGAGGCCCTGTCCCCTGCAGTGAGCCTTCGTGGGTCTCAGGGAATTGTCCTCCAGCCCTTGCAAACTTCCCCTCCCTGTCCTCAGCCAGGGCTCCGGCCGTAGGTTTCCTTCTGCACCTGTGTGTGTGTGATATCCTGGCAGGCACGTGTGCTGGGCCTATCCCTGCTTTGTCTTCAGATAAGTGAGCTGCACCTGGTGCAGAGAGCATGGCGCAGAATGGAAGGGGCCCTGCCCCCGCTGCAGCCTGCAGGCCGGCACCTGCACCTCTCCACCTGGCCTTGGCCCCATCCCCAGTGAGGCTGGGATACCAGGACTCCTCCCCTCTCCCCTTTCTGGCAACTCCTTCCTATCCCCACCCTGGGCTGGGGAAGAGCTGTGATGTCTGGAGTTTATCTGTTGGTGCTTTGCCTCTTAGTTTTTCCAACCCTCCTACCTTGTTTCCTTCTTGGTATCTTGTGTCATATATGGGTTCTTTGTAGGTCCCATGGAGCCAGGGACCAGGCAGATTGCAGGCCTGATTATCCTAGCAAAGGTACTTTTGGATTTTGGAGAAAGGAAAACAGAAGACAAGAAAGAAAGACAGGCGGAGCTCTGGGCAAGTCTGTTTGCCGAGACAGTCTGAGGATGTTGGGTTTCAACAGCAATACAACAGCCTGGGCTGGCTATCCTCAGGGTCCAGGAGGGAGAGGCAACCGGGGCCCTGTTGTCACTAAAGCAGGCCCAGCCTTGCCTGCCAAGCGGGGCCCTGGGGGAGGGTCCGCTGCTCCTAAGCTCCAGAGTGCAAGGCCTTTCATTCAGCTGGGCCCTGTACCTTCAGCCCAGGGGCAAAGGGGGCCTCAGCGCAGGACAGGCAGTGGGGGATCCACTAGTCCTGGGGGCTTGCAGCCTGTCATGCCAAGGCCCGAGTGGGGCTGGTTCAGTCCGTGCCCCTTGTCAGAGGTGGCCAGCAGGACTGCAGCTGTCCTGGGGTTTGGGCCTCACTGTTTGGCTTGTTTACCTGCCATTTACAGACAGAGGCCTGAGACAGCTGGTAGCAGGGAGGGACTGCCTGCTGCTGCGCCCAGCCCCCAGCAAGAGGGCCTTGGACACAGGGTGCTTTGGCAGCAGAATGAGCTCGCTTGCTCTCTCTCTGTCTCTCTCAATTTTGTGTGCCTGCGTGCCAGAGGACACATTCTGTCTGCATCCCAAGAAGGTGGCCTGGTGCAGCCTTGCTGGCCCCAGCACTGTTCTGTGCTGTCCCCTCTGGGTTCTGCTTTGGAGCCAGCCCCTCAGGGACCCCCTGCCTGTGGTTCAGGCTGGAGAGAGGGGACAGGCACCGCTAACCTGCAGTGTATCCTAGCACGGCCAGGAGCCTTGTACCCAGCGCAGCAGGGTCTAGGCTGCCACTATGCCCTGAACAAAGATGGGAAACAGGCAGGAGGAAACGCTACCTGCTGCCGGACTTTGGGGGGCTTAGCAGGCGAGTGCCGCTGCGGTGGGGCTTAGTGTGGGTGGAACTTTTCCAGGGCAAGATTCAGAGCCCCACAGTCTGACTGCTAAGCAGAGGGGCAAAGTGCAGGGCAGACCATTCTCCCCAACTCCTCGCCCCACGTACACTACAGGCCATTCTCCCTCACTCCCCCACCCTGTGCTCTGCCCCTGCCAGAGGTTCTGGTAGATCCCAGCTGCCCCCCACCTCTGCAGTCGTGCAACCCTAGCTGATTCCTAGGCAGGAGTGACACCTGCGTAACCCAAGCCAGCACCCTGAATGCTGGGAAGGGAGGGGCTGCAAGCCAGGCCTGGGAAATAGTGTTCCTGGTCCAGAGCTGCTGCAGGCCCCAGGAAAGGGACTTCTGAGCTGCAAGGTCATTTGGATGTCTTCCCCACCCCCATCACACACATCTAAGTGGGTGGAAGTGGCGTCCCCAGCTCCCTCCCCTCCCTTTCCCTCCATCTTCCATGCTGGGTGAGTGTTTTTTTTTTTTTTTTTTTTTTTTTTTAATGCTGCAGCCTCTGGCCCAGAGGAGTTTGCTGCAGAGTCAAGCCTGCTGCACAGGCCAGAGGGGGTGGGGAGGAGGAAAGGAAGATGCGATCTGGTACCCAGCTCCCATGCAGCCTGACCTGGGGTGCTTCTCCTGTTCATCCAGCCTGTGAGCCTCTGAGAGTCACAGCTACCCTGGGTACCCCGACTGGGGTCTCCTGAAGCAGCATGAACCATAGAAGGAGAGTCACTGTGCCATCTTCATCCCAGAGACGACCCTGGCTGGCCCTCATCATGGCGTCGGGAGGGGCTCTGCAGACAGGTGGGCCCATGTGATTAATGGGCTGTGTTCAGCTGTCTGGGTCCAGCTCCCTTTTCTGTCAGGAGTGCTGGAATCAGAACCAAGGTCTCTGGCACCTCAGAGCCGGAGCCTCTAACCACTGAGCTCCATAGCCTCCCAATCTGGCCAGGCCCTCAGTAGTTGGCCTCCCTGCTGGGACGCACTCAGGGCCAGGCTCTCTGCTGCCCTGGTTTCCCCTCTGTGTAGAAGGCCTGTTGTTGTTGTTGTCGTTGTTTTAGAAGGCAGGAGGGAGACTTCCTGAAGATGTCACTGCTGGGAGGGTCCCTGTCTTGACATGGGGAGAGGAGCCTGATGCGTGCCCACCTCTGAGGGCTGGAGTGACCATTCATTGCCTCTCACCAAGGGACCAGGGCAGCCAGGGTCCTTCCAGGCACACACCAGCTGTCCTGCCTTCCAGCCTGGTGTGCCAGAAGGGGCCGGGAGCTCGCTCAGCAGGGCCGGTTCCCCTTCCCACCCAATCTGCAGAGCTGTCTGCAAGGTGAGCCCAGGGCAGCTGCTGGACCTCCTGTCCAGAGAGAGCACCAGCCAGCACACTGCGCTCTCCTTGGCCCTCACCTCTTTTTATTTTTAGTAATCCCAGAAGGTGTCGATAGGGATTGCAGCTGGCTGTTAGTTGTTTGTCTTTCTCTTTTTTAATCTATTTTTTGTTAGGAAAACCTGGATTTCCCACAATGTGGAAGCAATAAGGAGGGGGCTTCTGGTCCCAATTCTGAAGGCTGTGACCTTCAGCACACCTCTGTGCAATGCCGATAGCCCCAGTACCTCTCTCTTGGTAGTTTTAAGGATTAAATCAGATAATGCACGCAGAAATACTTTACAAATGGAAGTGTTGTTGTTCTTCCAAGTTTGCAAGGAGAGGTAGCGGCAGTGTTCTTGCAGTGTGTCTGAGTTCCACGTGACTTATATTGGATTATTATGTAAATCCTGTAATTGATCTATCATACTCTTTTATGTCCATTCTTTATATAATATTTCTCTCACATATACACACTCAGTTGTATATGTATTTAAACATGTATTAGCAGTATGCATAATATATCTTTTAATATTTATATTTCTGTTCAGTTCTGTGCATGCCACAGAATATGTGTTATAAACTCTGTTAGTAAGCTTTTTGGTTGTTTCTAGTTTTTTGCTGTTTTATAATTATTATCTTAGAGATGGAGTCTTGCTATGTTGCCCAGGCTGGTCTTGAACACCTGGTCTCAAGTGATCCTCTCTCACCTTGACCTCACAAATGGCTGAGACTACAGGTGTGTACCACCTCCTCTGGCTTCTGTTTTAGATAGTACTTTGGGAGCCTTTTGAAAAATTGAGATACAATGCACATATCACAAAATTTACTCTTTTAAAATATAAAATTAAGTGGTTTTTTGTATATTCACAAAGTTATGCAACCACTTTCTAATTCAAGAATATTTATGAACATTTTAAAAAACATCTTCCCTTTAGTAAACTTCTGTAGAGGGATGACTGGGCCGAAAGGGAAGAAATGCTTCCTGGCTGTTACTCCCTCTTCTGAATTGAGCAGCACAGCCGGCGGGCGCCACCATGGCCCCCCGCTTTGTCACCCTGTGACCTTGGTGAGCTCTGGACCTGCACAGGCGGGAGCCAGGTTTACAGGAGGTCTTTCTTCCCAGTGTCCAGCCTGGTTGTGCTTTTCTCTATCCTTTTCATATACTAATGGGTTTCAGCCTTCAACTTTCAACCCAGGAAAACATGCATACTAGGAGCCAATGTAGATCATTTTTAGGAGAAATCAGTCCACCATAACTGGCAGTAACTAGGAAAGATCAGCACCAGGAGGAGGGCCAGCCCCTCACTTCCTGTCCTTGCACTCAGCTGCATGGCCTCTTCCCAGGGAGGTGCCAGGCCACCATCCGGTCACTGCAGTAAACCCTCAAGAGACAGAGCTAACCAGGAGAGGAGCAACGTCCATAAATCTACAGACCGTGTTAAACACAGGCGCACCCCCTGAAGCTTGAAATTAAGGAATAAAGGAAGCTCTCTTTTACCCATCAGGTAGTAAACCCGTGGAATGCGTTCTCTCTGAGAATTGAGAGAGGATAAAAATAGGAAAAGGGCCACTTAGGGACTTGCTAAATTAATGAATAGTAAGCAGATAACAGGGCTTTTAGGGACTCTGCTGTGTTCCTTCATCAAAAATTCATCTGTTTTTAAAGCTTTACCTATGCTCTTTACATATAAATCTACAATTCATTGATTGGAAGGCATATTTTTCATATTTGGACATCTCTGAAATTGGGTTTATCCTTAATAGTGGAACCGGAAGCCCTTTTCTTTCTTAGTGGTTATAAAACAGCAATCCTTCCGCCACTGATGGCGTTGCGAGTTTGATGAAACCCAGTTTATCTCCAATGTCCGTTGTCTCTCCAGGCCCTCGTTTATACCTCCAGCCGCCTTTTAGATAGTTTCATGGGGTGTCACACCATCACTTCAGATTCAGCAGATTTAGAATTCAAATCATCACTGCATTTTTCTCATGAAATACCAACCGGCTTTTCTAAGCTCTTTATTGCCAAATGGGAACAGTGCTCTCTGAGTGCCCGGGTTGGTCGTCCCTCTCTTTCAGCATCTATCATAAGAAAAATCCCAACCAATATTTATTCAGTGTTTCCTGTGTGCTAGCCACTGTTCGATGCCCTGTTTGGATGTTAACTCCTTAAGCCTCACAGCAGCCCTGCAAGGGAGGTGCAGGGATTATTGCTTGTTCACATGTGAGGTGATGTCGCTTGCTGGAGATCACAGGGCTGAAAGAGGCCAGAGCTGGTATTTAAACCGGGGCAGGCTGGGCATGGTGCTTTATACCTGTAATCCCAGCACTTTGGGAGGCCAAGACAGGTGGATCACTTGAGGTTAGGAGTTCAAGACCAGCCTGGCCAACAAGGAGAAACCCCATCTCCACTAAAAATACAAAAATCAGCCAGGCGTGATAGCGTGTGCCTGTAATCCCAGCTACTTGGGCTGCTGAGGCAGGAGAATCGCTTGAACCTGGTAGGCGGAGGTTGCAGTGAGCCAAGATTGTGCCGCTGCACTCCAGCTGGGGTGACAGGGAGACTCCATCTCAAAAAAAAAAAAAAAAGATAAAATAAACTAAAATAAAAAAGCAGGGCCACCAGGCTCCAGAGACCACACTCCTGACCACAGCTCTGCGCCACCATTCACAGATCCAGCCAGTCACCAAGTAGCTTTTATTCATCTACTGTAATAACGTCTCTGCATCTTACTGTGACTTTGTTCCCTCCTACCTTTGTTACTTCCTTTGATTGCAGCAAAGGCTGCCTCGTTGATTCCATTACCACCAGTTCCATCCCGTTCATCTTGCAGGTCACAGACAGCTTCATCTTTCTGAAGTACCTCTTTCGTAGTTCTGCTTCCCTGCTCTAAACCTTTTTTAAAAAGTTTTATTGAGCTGTAACTAACAAATCCTACAGTTTACCGGGTTGAGGTGGACAGGCCAGTGAGCTTTAGTATATCCACAGATCGTGTGTCAGTACCACAGTCGATATCAGAACATGTTCATCACCCCAAAGGAAGCCCTGTACCCCTTAGTTGTCATCCCCTGACTTCCCCTTCCCCCAGCTTCTGCCAACCACAGATCAGCATTCTTTCAGTGGGTTTGCCTATTCTGGATATTTCATACATCCAGGATCATAGGTGTGTGGCTTCTATCACTTAGCATCCTGTGTTCAGAGTTCACCCATGCTCTAGCATGTATCAGCCCGTCATTTCCTTTTACTGCCGCATAATTCCTGACTGTATAGATCTGCCATGATCTCGAGTCACCAGTTGGCAGACATTTGGGTTGTTCCTACTCCTTGGCTATTATGAATAATCCTGTAGTGGGCATTCATGTACAAGCTTTTGTGTGGACCTGTGTTTTTATTTCTCTTGAGTATAAACCCAGCAGTGGAGTTGCTGGATCATGACTCTGTTTAACTGTTTGAGGCCAAGAACTCTTCTTTATTTATTTTTTTAATTTTTGGAGACAGGGTCTTGATCTGTCAGTCTGGCTGGAGTCCAGTGGTGCAGTCATAGCTCACTGCAGCCTCGACTTCCTGGGCTCAAGTGATCCTCCCACCTCAGCCTCCCAAGTAGCTGGGACCGCAGATGCATGCCACTATGCCCAGCTAATTTTTATATTAGATGGGGTTTTGCTATGTTGCCAAGGCTGATCTCAAACTCCTGGACTCAGGGGATCTGCCTGCCTCAGCCTCCCAAAGTGCTGGGATTACAAGTGTGAGCCACTGTGCCCGACCTCAAGAACTCTTAGAAGCTCCTTAAACTACTTAGTCTAGTTTCCAAGACCCCTTCCATGTGTTCTCAGTTTCTGCTCTTCTGAATCACAGACTGGCTGTCAAGCTCACTGCTATTGTTTGGCCTGCGTGTGCAGGCCTCTGCTGCCAGTCACATGCTGTTCACCCCACCTAGGATGTGGCCCACTGCAGTCAGCCCACACATATATTTATTTGAGACCCATAGCATTTTTTAAAAATCAAAATTATTTGCACACATTTTAAAGTCTTGAGATTATACTTAATCATCCACATTTTTATGTTATTCCGAAAAATTGGAAGATTTGGTCACCCTGGGCCCACACTCCTGTGAGGACCACCTGACTACAGCCGAGGCACTTAACTGTCCCTCTGAGGGACACCAGCCTTACTCCATCCTCCTCTTTTGCTGGCCCTGGTAGGCATTGGAATCCCTGACCTTTGCCCTAGACCCCTTCTTCCAGAAGCTCAGTAGGCGTCTTCATTGTGCTGTTTCTAAAGGCCAGGGGTACCCATGCCACTCCATACTCTTCTGTTGTAGGGTTGAGTAGTAGATAATTAAAAGGGAAATGTTTTGGTGGTAAGAATTGCAGGCTCTGGGACCAACTGCCTGGATTTCAGTCTCATTTTTACCTCTTTGCCAGCTGCGTGACCTTGGGTAAGTTATCTAACCTCTCTGAACCTCAGTTTCCTTATATTTTAAAATAGGAGGCCCTCCTTATATGTCATCATTGTGAGGATAAATGGGCCGATCCGCGAACATTGCTGTCGTCAGTATTCTCCTTTTCTGGGTGTCTTCTCAACAGCAGCACAAGACCTTTGAAGGCCTCATCCCTACGGAGTGGCAGGAGCCCACCCGTTGTCTTCCCTGTGGAGACCACTCTTGGCATTTTGGTTGGCACAGTTGGGCTGGACTGTCCTGCTCATTTCAGACTGTCCCTGGAAAGAGCTGCACCCTCAAGCTTCAGTTGCTATGGATGGGGACAAGGTGCCTTGCTATATGAGTGGCTGCTGGCTTCATATCTTGCCCCCGACACTGGTGCTGCTGTCGGAATGGCACATCGGGCTGATTCAGGGCAGGGTGTTCCCCAGTCGTGACCTGGCACGCTTGCTGTCTCTCTGGAGAGAGAGAGAGAGAGAGAGAGAGAGAGAGAGAGAGAACACACCACCAACCCGGTCAGGACGGGCACCATGGACCTGGCAGCTGCTGGGAGGAACTGTAACATTGGGGTTCAGGGTGCCCTCAGCTCCCCTGAGGGGATGTTTCCCCAGGTTCTTGGTCTCCTGCCCTCTCAAGAATGAGAAAGGGGACCATGGCACAATGCGCAGTAAATGCCAGACTCAAAAGTGTTTGTAGAAAGTGATTTATTTAGAGAGAGAGAAACAGGAGGAGAGAGAAAGAAACAGCTAACTCTCACACTGAATGAGAGAATCCAGAATGATGGAATCCGGGAGAGGAAAGCAGTTTCCACACTGAGTGGAAGGGAATAGAGAGAGAGATGGCGTTTTGGAGGGGAAGACAGGCTTCCACGAGAGAGTGTGGAAGGGGACTCCAGAGGGAGATCCAGGAGAGAGAAAGATGGCTTCCAGCTTCCACGAAGGGAGTGTTTGTGGAAGGGGACCCAAACATGGAGTCCGAAGGGGTGTGGAAGAAGGGGACTTTTAACCTGGGAGGAATCCCCACCTTCTCTAAGACCCCTGGCCAATGAAAGGAGTTCCTTAGAACTTCCCCTGGAGTGATTGACTCTTAGTTTCTTCCCTTGCCGGCGAAATATAAACATAAATCACATAAATCGTTGAATCGCCCAGATGGAGAGAGATGGGAGGGGGCATGGCGCTAGGAATTTCTGCTCTCAAAACCACGCCCCCTTGTGGACCTGGAAAGAGAACACCTTCCCTCAGGACCATGAGTGGCTCAGCAGGCCTGAACTTAGGACTTGCTGCTTTTTGTCTGTTTGAATTAAATGTTAATTAAATACTAGGTAAAATCAGTTTACAGAATGCATGGAAGAGCTACAGCACTATGGTAGAACAAACACCTGTGCCCCACTACCCATTTTTAAAAACAACTTTCTTCTCCTGTGTGTGCCTCCCCACATTCTGTCCTGTTTCCTCTTTTCACGCTTCCAGGTTGTAGATGATGATTCCCTCACTTCTGTTTCTTGTTTCCATGCACGCCTGCCTCCCTAGACAATCTGTTGTTTAATTTTGAACAAGAGTCATCCTGTATGTGTCCGAGCGTGGCTCTTTCTGTCTCTGTGTCCAGCATTTGGAATAATCGCTTGAGATCTGTCTTCTAGCTGACTCTTTTTTACAGCTGTTTCTCATCTGTAAAGCCCATCTACTGAATTTCTAATTTCCAATTATATTTTTCATTTATTGAAGTTCTGTTTATTCTGGTCACTTTATATCCTATGATCTTTCTCTCTCTCTCTTTTTTTTTTTTTTTTTTTTTTTTTTGAGATAGGGTCTCACTCTATTGTCCAGGCTGCAGTGCAGTGGCACGATCACAGTTCACTGCAGCCTTGACCTCCTGAGCTCAAGCAGTCCTCCCACCCCAGCCTCCCAAATACTTGGGACCACACTTGGCTATTTAAAAAAAAATTTTTGTAGAAACAGGGTCCCACTTTGTTGCTCAAGATTGTCTTGGACTCCTAGACTCTGGGCTCAAGTGATCCTCCTGCCTTGGCCTCCCAAAGTGCTGGGATTACCAGCATGAGCCACTCCACCTGGCCTACATCCTATTTTCAAATTAATCTTTATTTTATCAAAGTAATCATGTTGCTTTCTCACCACGTTACATTTTTGAGGTGTATCCATGACAATGTATGTGTCTTCATTATCTCTGCTATCCACTGTCTGAACTTAGTGCTGTATGACTGGCTAGGGATGCAGCAGAGAGCAGAAACAGCTCAGATGAAGCCTCCCTTGTAGTGGGGAAGAAAGAGAAATGGACACTGAATTACAGTCAGCTGGCCTAGGAGAAGACAGGGCCCTTCAGAAGGGGTAGGCCAAAGCTTCTAGAAGCTGAGCCCATAAGGCTGAGAGGGAGTTTGCTGGGTGAACAAACGAATCCCAGGCTAGGGGTCCTGCATGCAGAAGCCTTTGAGAAACGATGGTGTCATGAGCCTAGGCTCTCTCTGTAGGTGAGGTTGTGAGGAGACTTGGGCATTGGAACTCACATGTAAGGTGGTATGCATTGGAACCGTGAGCTCTAGGACTGTCCTGTATATTTGAGTCACTGATAAACAGCACTCACTGAGGGGTTGAGCCTGGGAGGAGGGAGTGGAGTGGAGCTGGTGGTTAAGCAGTGCCTGCTTCTGCCCCACCAGCCTGGTCACCCATGTCCTTCCTCACACATGAAGCAGGGGTGACCACGGTGCCTGTGTGCTGGGTCTCTGTGAGTGTGGGGAGGAGCGCCGGTATTACATTGTTTTGCCAGTTTGTTACATTGTTATGCTGCTGTTACGTCGTTATTACACCAGTGTTACGTTGTTACTCCAGTGTTATGTTGCTATTCTGCCAGTGTTATGCCAGTATTACATTGCTACACCAGTGTTGCTGCACCAGTTTTGTTACACTGAGTTTATGCTGTTGTTATGCTGGTGTTGTGTTGCTGTTGTTACACCGTGCTATTACGTTGTTGTTATACCAGTATTGTTATGTTGTTGTTACGACAGTATTATGTGTTACACCAGTATTATGTTGTTGTTACATTACTGTGTTATGCCACTGTTGTTACATTAGTGTTACACTGGTGCTGTTATGTTGTCGCTGTTATGTATGCCAGTGTTATGTTGGTGTTGTTACACCAGTGTTGTTATGTTGGTGGTGGTATGCCAGTGTTACGTTGCTGTTATGCCAGTGTTATGCCGGTGTTGCTATGCCAGTGTTGTTAGACTGATGTTGTTACACTGGTGTTGTAACGTTATTACGCTGGTGTTATGCTGGTGTTGTTATGCCAGTGTTACATTGTTGTTATGCTGTTTTTGTTATACTGGTGTTGATATGTTGTTATGCTGGTGTTACATTTTTACACTGGTGCTGTTATGCCAGTGTTGTTACATTGTTATGCTGTGTTGCTGTTATGCTGGTGTTATGTTGTTATGCCAGTGTTCCTGTTACACTGGTGTTGTTACATTATTACGTTGGTGTTATTACACCAGCATTGTTACACTGTTATATGGTGTTGCTATTGTTACGCTGGTGTTGTTACATTGTTGTTTCGCTGGTGTTAGGTGGCCGTTATGCCAGTGTTGTTACATTGTTACATCGGTGTTATGTTGTTACACCAGTGTAATTACATTGTTGTTATGCTGGCATTATGGTCCTATTGTTATGCTAGTGTTGTTACATTGTTATGCTGTTGTTAGGTTGCTGTTGTTACACTGATGTTACATTGTTGTCACAGCAGTGTTATGGTGTTATGCCACTGTTATGTTTGATGTTGCTGTTGTTATGCTGGTGTTATGTTGCTGTTACCCCAGTGTTATACTATTATGCCAGTGTTATGTTGCTGTTATGCCAGTGTTATGGTGCCATTATGCTGGTGTTATGTTGTTACACCGGTGTTATGTTGCTGTTATGCCAGTGATATGTTGATGTTAACGCCAGTGTTGTTATGTTGGTGTTATGTTGTTACACTGGTATTGTTATGTTGGTGGTGTTACGCCGGTGTTGTCATATTGTTACACTGGGGTTATGTTGCTAGTGTTATGCCAGTCTTGTAACATTGCACCAGTGTTATGTTGCTGTTACACCAGTGTTGTTACATTGTTACACTGTTATGCTGGTGTTATGTTGCTGCTATGCCAGTGTTATGTCGGTGTTACACAGGTGTTATTACATTGTTACATAGTGGCATTAGGTTGTTGCGCCAGTGTTATGTTGTTACATTGAGGTTATTTTGCTGCTGTTACACCAGTGTGGCTACATGTTGTTATGCCAGTGTTATGTTGCTGTTGTTATGCTGGTGTTACATTGTTATGCTGGTGTTGTTATGTTATTAATGCCGGTGTCATCATGTTGCTGTTATACCAGTGTTGTTATGTTGTTACACTGGTGTTATGTTGCTGGTGTTATGCCAGTGTTGTTACATTGTTGTTATGCTGGTGGTGTTATGTTGTTATGCCAGTGCTGTTATGTTATGCTGGCTTTATGTTGCTGGTGTTATTCCAGTGTTGTATGTTATTGTTACACTGGTGCTGTTATGTTGTTACACTGGTGCTATGTTGCTCATGTTATGCCAGTGCTGTTACATTGTTGTTATGCTGGTGTTGTTACATTGTAATGCTGGTGTTATGATAGTGGTATGTTGTTATGCCAGTATTGTTACATTGTTATGTTGGTGTTACAGTGTGATGCTGCTGCTGTTATGCCAGTGTTGTTACATTGTTGTTAAGCTAGTGTTATGTTGCTGCTGTTACACTGGTGTTGTAACATTATGTCAGTGTTATGTTGTTACACTGGTGTTATTATGTTGCTGTTGTTATATCAGTGTTGCTATGCCAGTGTTATGTTGTTATGCTGATGTTGTTACATTGTTGTTACACTGGTGTTATGTTGCTAGTGTCACGCCAGTATGTTGTTGTTATGCTGGTATTGTTACACCAGTGTTACGTTGCTGGTGTTACACTATTGTTACATTGTTGTTATGCTGGTGTTTTTACACTGTTGTTACGTTGGTATTGTTGTTATGCTGGTGTTACATTCTTATGCTGGTGTTGTTACATTCTTATGCTAGTGTTATGTTGCCATATTATGCTGGTGTTAACACCAGTGTTGTTATGCTAGTGTTGTTATGTTGGTGTTGTTACAGTGGTGTTACATTGGTTTTGTTATGCCAACGTTGTTATATTGTTGTTAAGTTGGTGTTATATTGCTGTTGTTATGCTGGTGTTGTAATGTTATGTCAGTGTTATGTTGTTACACTGGTATTGTTATGTTGCTGTGGTTACACCAGTGTTGTTATGTTACTATGCTGCCAGTGTGTTACGTTGGTGTTACGTTGTTGTTACACCAGTGTTATGTTGCTGTTACACCAGTATTGTTACATTGTTGTTACATTGGTGTTATGTTGTTACGCTGGTGTTATATCCTTATGCTGGTGGTGTTAACATTGTTGTTATGCCAGTGTTATGTTGTTATACCGGTGTTGTTATGTTGCTGTTGTTATGCCAGTGTTATGTTGTTTTTACATCAGTGTTGTTATGTTGCTGTTGTTATACCAGTGTTATGTTGTTTTTACATCAGTGTTGTTATGTTGCTGTTAACGCTGGGCGTGCTGCTCTGTGTTCTCCTGGTGTTCTTCCCTTTTATCCTCACGGTCACCCTGTGCACCTGACAACTGGACGTGTGCACCTTGGGGTCTTCAGCCTAAACACATCTAAATCCTCCACCAAACTCCACTCCCAGCCTCCTTGTGTCTGTGAGCGCCTCCACTGCCCATCCCTCCACTCAGGCCCCATTTCCAGGGCTCATCTTTGGGGCCTCCGTGTTGCTCACGCCCACCCTGTCAGCAGGTCCAGCCAATCCTGACTCCGGGTGCATCTCCCTCCCCCGCAGCTCCTGTACTGCCCATTAGTCTAGGCCCTGTCATCTCCGCTGGGCAGCCGTGCAGCCTCCTCCTTGCCTTTCCTGCTTCTGCACCCATTCTCCCCTGCAGGCCAGGCATTGATCCCCAATATGGGTTTCGTCTTCTGCCTCAAACCCTTCAGCGTCCCCCGGTGAGCTTAGAAAAAAGTGCAGCCTCTTCGCCTTGTCCTGCAAGACCCGTGCACTCCTCTCCAGCCTCACTGCTGTCCCCACTCTTTTCTCACCTCCATCTTGCCCCCAGCACGCCAATTTCCTTCCTGGCTTGGGGCTTTGGCACTGGAGGGTCCCTGCATCTGAGACACTCTCTCTCTGGCTTTTTGCAGGGCTGGCTCTTCGGGTCTCAGAGGGGCTTTTTCATTACCCTCAGTCACAGCCGGTCTGTAGTTTTATTTACTTCCTTTTCTCTCTTTCCCACTTTCCCTCTTTCCCGCTTCCCTGCACACTGCCTGGCACAGGTATGTGCCTGGTAGTGAGGCGCCATTTGTTGGTCCCATCTGAGGGCAGGATGCAGGAACAAAAGTCAAGTTGCTTGCCCAAGATCACACGTTAGTAAGCGGCAGTCACACTCTGGCGCCCGAGCCCCTGCCACGGTGCTGCCACCCCCGCCATGGCACCATAGTCCCCGCAGTGCCAAGCCGTCTGCCGCCAGTGGCCAGGCAGGGCAGGGCGAGGGGCTGGCCAGTATCTGCAGATGCAGTCTGGCCTTTACTGGGAATAGAGCTTTCTTCACGTGGACTTCTGGAGAGGCTTATGGACTTAATGCATTCTCTTACAGTAGTTCTTATTGATTGACAGAGGTGGTGGCTTTAAGACTTCCTTCCTCCCTTCTCTTGGCGAGGTTGGCTTTGGCGTGCACCATTTTTATAGGCTCTGTGGACTCAGGGACGAGGATGCTTGGATGCAGGACGAATGTGGGGCTGGGGTCTTGGTGCACCTTGGGGAAATCTGATGCTCTGGCCTTTCTTTACATCCTCCCCTTCTCCACCTCCCTTCACCAGGGCGCACCAGCTTCTACGAGGAGTACGGTGTCATTCGTGACGTCCTCCAGAACCACCTGACGGAGATCCTCACCCTGGTGGCCATGGAGCTGCCCCACAGCGTCAGCAGCGTGGAGGCGGTGCTGCGGCACAAGCTTCGGCTCTTCCAGGCACTGCGGGGCCTGCAGAGGGCCAGTGCCGTCGTGGGCCAGTACCAGGCTTACAACGAGCAGGTGCGCAGGGAGCTGCAGAAGCTAGACAGCTTCCACAGCCTGACGCCGACCTTCGCAGGTGGGCCCTGGGGTCGGGCACGGGCACTGGGCTGCCCACTTCCGGGAACAGCTTTCCAAACCCAGGCTCCTTTGGGTGGAGTGGAGGGGATTTGCGGTGGGATTTCTCCCAGGGCACTTGGCAGAAAGCATTCCCCTGTCTCCCTGGCCTCCTACCAGCTTGGAGTGGCAGGCCACCTGCTGGTGCTCTCAGGGTGAAGGATGTCCTGATGGCCTTGGCCTCGCATCAGCCCCACTTCAGTCCCAGATGCTTCCCAAGGGTTTGTCACGTGAGGCTCAGACAGACCTGGTTCCTGCCTCATAGGGTCTACCCAGCAAGGCCGCGAGCCTTTGGCCCGGCCACAGCTGGAGACACTTCCAGTGGGCAAGTGTGAGGCTAGGGCCGTCCTCTAGGCAGTTCCAGAGGCCCAGGGCTTTCTGGGAGAGGCTAGCTCCTTGGCAGCTAGCAGCCAGGCAGCAAGAGCTGCAGCTGCCTATGGAGCATGTGCCACGTGCCAGGCGCCTGTAGACGTCTCTCATGCAAGCCTCACACACGAACCAAGAGGCGGGAGCCATTAGCCCTGTTTTATGGGTGAGGAAACGTCAGGCTCGGTGATGTCATGAAAATGAACCAGGCTTGGAATTTGGCCATGGAGTCCCATCAGCTCCTAGCTCTTGCCACCAGGCCTTGCCCTCCCCGAAGCCATCCTCCCCACTGACACCCTGCCCACGGGCCTCTGGTTGAGTGACTGTCTCCCCACCTCCCTGCATCTGACCCTGGGTTGGGTACATCGTGAATGCTTCACAAACAGAGGAGGGGAGCACATTTCTCTGTAGGGCCCCCCGCCCCCTTATACACCTGAGTCAGGATCCCCCTCCCCGCTTGCCCCCAGTATGGGGCTTCCTGTAGAGTCTCCAGCGTGGAGGTTTTCAGCCAGGCTCTTTTTTGCTGGGGGACCATGACTCTAAGAGGGGCCTCAAGGAAGGGAGGTGGCAAAGCTGTAGAGATTACCCCAGAGGCCAGTTTTCCAGCGTGGACCAGGAAGAGAAGGTCATAGAAGAGAGGCCAGCTGAGGGGTGATCATGACAAGGCGAGGGGGCTTCCCACAGGCAGGGGGATGCCTGGAGAAGGGGCCAGCGAGGAGAGGGCTGGCCGGAGAGTCCTGTTCTGTGCCGGAGAGTCACCCTCTGCTGTTCCCTCGCCCCAGGCGTCCTCGTGCACATTGACAACCTTCGCTGGGAGGGCGTGCCTTTCATCCTGATGTCTGGCAAAGCCTTGGATGAGAGAGTGGGCTACGCTCGGATCTTGTTCAAGAACCAGGCATGCTGTGTCCAGAGCGAAAAGCACTGGGCGGCGACGCAGAGCCAGTGCCTGCCTCGGCAGGTTGTCTTCCACATTGGTCATGGTGACCTGGGCAGCCCAGCTGTGCTGGTCAGCAGGAACCTGTTCAGGCCCTCCCTGCCCTCCGGCTGGAAGGAAGTGGAGGGCCCGCCTGGGCTCCGCCTTTTCGGCAGCCCTCTGTCCAGTTACTATGCCTACAGCCC